CTTTTGTTATCACAACTACAGAGCAGTGGTCCTGGAAAAATGGTGTTTAAACTCAACCCGAGGTACTGTGCTGAAGCAGAGAGCCCATGAAGTGTCCTAACAGCATGCTCCAGATACTCTTCAGCCCACTGTAGCCTTGGAGGAGAGAGGTAACATGTTGAGGAACTGACAGAAGCTCTCTTCAGTGTTCCCAAATCCTTTTTTTTGTGCCAAAAGTCCTTTCAGGGTACACTCTCCTCCCCCTTCTTTCCCTTAACTTCCCTGTACCCAGAGGCTGCGTTTCCTCTTAGTTTCTCCATGTCAGGGATGCAGGGGAAGCACTCCGAGCATTTGCACAGATGGAGAGTGACATTTCTTATAGAGGCTCCTGCTTCAAGCTAGTTGAGAGCAACCATGCTGAAGGTTTTCCTCTGATTGTTTTCTGAAGCCAGAACCCCAGTAGTCTGACCCATGTTGAGGAACATCCAAAATCTGAAGTCGGCACTTCATTGCCCTGTTCTGGTGAGATTTGTGTCCCTGTACTCTCAAACATTTAGATGAGCCTGAAGAATGTCAGCTGGGGAAGGTGCTAGGCCCCTTGAGAGAAGGGTACTGCCTGTTCAACACTCCTTTGGACAGCAGTATTCCCACATTTTGTCCCCCAAGCTTTTGCTTGGAATCTAGCCCTTAGGACTGTTGTTTGTTCCAACTCCTCCACCTGCTCCCCTCCAGTGGCAGAGGGTTTGAATGGTTGGAACTAGATGATCTTTAATGTCCTTTCCAACTCAAACTATTCTGTGATTCTGTGATGATGATTAATCACACGCTACTTTTATCTTGCAGTGTGTGGGAAGAAGTTAAGTCAATGACTATTCTACAGTGACAGTCCGCTGTTTTCTCTGTAAGGGTTTTGTGGTTGTGGTCAGCTGATAACAGTACAGCACTGAGAAATGAGGTATAGCCTTGCTTTTGTACTCTTGCTCTTTTCAGCTTAGTTCTTTTCATTTTCTTCAGCATCTGAGCATTATGATCAAACTAGAAAGCAGCATGCCGTCTTGCAAGAAAAATTAACATCTCTAACTGTGTTAAAGTTGAATTTTTTTGATCTGCTACCCAACCTGGATTACTTCAGAGGTGAAATGGCAATACCAATTTGGGTCTCACAAGCAAAGCCTGGCCAAACTAGAACAGGTTGAATATTCTCAAATATTCTACCACAATTTTTTGTCCCATTTTCCTTTTACAGTTTTAAAAATATGCAGTTTTCTAGTTGATTGATAGAGCTTTGGGCATAATTTTACGGCTCACTTATGGTTCTTGTCACTATATATGATGTCATTCATATGCGATGTATTTATAGTCATATGAATACTGTTGGACCTAGGGTCACTTATTAAGAGTGTCTGGGAAAAACAGATTTGTTACATTTAGAATTGCTCACAAACCTTTTGTCTGAGTGGTTTGACTTGTGGAGAAACTGCTTAGAGTTGTATGTAGAAGAAGGCTGGGAGGCATACACACCTCCTCAGCCGGGCTTATGTGTGACAGTGCCATCATAGGTCTGTCCTAGTCGGTGCAGACACCTAATTGTATCTGATAGATACCAATTGATGGAATGAATTAATGATTCAAAACATTAATGATGACAGGCATTTGCATCAACTGGACTCACCAGAGCATGCACATGTGAAAAGGTTCATCTCAAGCCTTCTTAAATGTGTCTAAACCTGCCTGCAACCAGCTGGGAATCTGCATAGGCAGGAGCTGGCTGGCTGTTCCTTCATCGCTTGCAGTGTTGCTGGAACAGAAATCTGCAGGCTGAAATCCACGATGCTGCTGGGGCCTTCACAAATAGGCACATTGCTGCAGAGCCCTGCTTAGGTGGGCTCCCTTGCCAGATGGAGGGGAATACTCAACTGTGTGCATGCAGACCTCTGAGAAGACAACAGGTGACCTGAGATCTGCCTGGGGTTCCTTCCTCCACCAAAAAAACATCTGTTCAGTCCTGAGTTTCCACAGATGTAGCCATATATGGATGGCTGGTGAAAGGTCCTGGAGGAATATTGAAGGCTGTCAGCACGTGGCTGTGAAGACTAAGCTGTGCGAGACAGCAGGCAACAGCAGCAGCACAATCCCAGCTGGGCCCAGAAACCCACACTGCCACTTCCACCACACTGGCCTTGCTGGGTCCACATGCCCTGGGGCAATCTGTGGGGCACCACAGGAGTGCCTGTCCCTACCCAGGGCCGGTCACAATGCAAACAGCAGGTCTCACAGGGCAGGCTGGGGTACAGGAAAGAGAAACCGAGATGCAGGAAGCTTCCAGAAGAGACAGGAAAGCAAAGCAGGGGAAGGATATGGGTTTACATCTGGTGGCATCAGAGGAGGTTATGAGACAGTGTGCATTAGGGTCAGTCACATCAAGGTAAAGAGAAGTGGCTGCTGTGGGTGGGTAAAATGGATTTACTTTGTTGGGAGAAAAGGGAAGACAGAATAGAAGGAGGAATGTTTTGTCATCCGAATACCACATAGTCAGTTTGACACCAAAACTTTAGCCACAGATTTTCAGGATGCAGATGAAATAGCTCTACTGCAGCTGAATTATTACTAACTCCCTGATTGTAATGATTCAAGCACTTCCTTTCAAGTTACATTTTTCCTTCTCATGGGCTCTATATAACCTATTTCCAGAAAAAATATTTATTACAACAGCCTTTACTAGTTAAGTGTTACTTTTTCTAACCAGCTGGTTTTGTTCTGCTTTCCTCTTAGCAGGAAGATGAAACAATTAAAAATTAGTCAGTCTATGTTGTACTTTTTTTTTTGCATCTTCTCCAGAAACATTTAGTAGGTGTTGCTATAGGAGGCAGAATGCTGGACTCATCTGACTGTGCAGGGCTTTTCTGTAAGATAGTTTCCAATGCCCACCATTGGATAATACCAATGTCATCCTAGTAATTTCTCTGTGTAAAGGAATCATGCAGTAATTAAACAAACATGCATTTGGTGGTGCTTTGATACATCATAAAGTAAATGGAAAATCCTGTTTGTTTCCACTCAGATTGATTTGTTCGATACTCCCTGAAACTGGTAAAAGGATATTAATAATTTACAGTTTGCAAACGTCACCAGCAGTGTTTTTTTTATTTAATCACTTTCATTATTTTCAAAGACTTGTTTGCATTCTTAATTATTAGTGTACATACCTCCACCAAATTTCCATCTGATAAGATCAGTAATATTCTTCAGTGTGGAAATTTCAGCAGGTGATGTTAAAATGCTAAAAAAGCCCAGCTCCTTCCTTCTTCTTTGCTTCCTTATGTCTCAGCTTACACTGCTTTCCTGTCTTTGATGAGTCATTGCATTTACTTTGTACTGGTACTTTTACATTTCAAGCCTGAGCAGTGATTTTGATTTCCTTGTTTTCTGATCAGAAAAAGCACCACTTTTTCCCCTGTAGGTAACACGGGATTTTTGTCAAATCAGAGAAACCCTATTTTCCAAGTTGTGATTGCACAGGATGTTGTGGAAATGTTATGCAGTTGTATCTGGTTGCTTTTGAAGATGCTTGATGCTGTTTCCTAGTAGCAGTCCAGGTCCTAAAGAATATTGCTTTATAGTTCAGCTGAATATTATAAAGACCTAAAACATAAACAGTGTAAAATATAACAATCAACTGTGAGAATATAAATGAGCATTTCGAATACCAGAAACTCCCAACTGTGCAAATATAAATTCCCTTCTTCTCCTTGTCATGACCATAGAGTGGCACTGGCTATTGTTGAGCATTGATGTATGGCCTAGGAGTAGTACAGCCCAGTGTTTCAAGTTTAGCAGAGCATTTTTAGAGACTAGGGTTCACAGACTAGCCCACGGTTTGTTCACTCCTGCAAGCAAATAAAACAGCAGCTTTCGCCTTGATAGGGCTCTGATAGAACAAGCTACAGCTCTCCACCCTGCTCCTCAGCCACCTACTGCCACGTGCAGCAAACGGAGTGGGAAGGGATTTCCTTCTGCATCTTCTCTGACCTCTTTCTCCTGCTCTGCTACCTGCCTTGCTACCAGCAAGGGTAAACATCAGGCAGCTGTGAAGACGAGTGTGTTCTCATACCCTGCTGTTTCCTCCTCCATGGGTTTCACCCTTAGTTCTTAGTGATCCCGTCAGCTGTTAGTGACACCCCCTCAGCCTCTGTTTCAGCCCTGCCAGTGAAACAACCTCAGGAGAAGCAGTGTGTTGGTGAAGGGATGTTGTCTTTCCCCACCTGCTGCTGCTACTTGTTTAAAAAAAGCCCCAAAACCCTACATCTTTTTATTTCTGAGAGTTTTTTTTCCTTTGTTCATCATGGAACTCACCTCCAGAGGTGGGTGAAGGATAATTAAAACCTGCTGAGCCAGCAGACTTGGCACAAAACCAAGTAGAACTTCGAAATTTTGAAAGGCATTGGGAAAAATTGGGAAGCATTAACCTCAGATGATTTTTCATGGTGATGAAAAGATGAAAGTTGGAAACACGTAACTGAATGACTGTTTGGAGATATGCAGCACTTCTGAAGTTAAATCAAAGTATCCTGTTCACTGTAGTTAAAGTAGTTAATATTTGCCAGATTAGCTTGAGGCGTTTTGATGTAATGTGAAGATAACAGTGGCACAGTGCTTACACAGATAAAATGAGGTGTAGGCACATCCAACTCTTTTTACAGAAACACACCATCAGCACTGCTCCTCTTTAACCTGCAAAATTTTATTTTACTAATACCTTCTACGGATTATGTTGCAACAGTGCAGGAAGTGATTCATTTTAGACATAAAAATGTAGTTATAGTTCAAAGTGGTTTATGACTTCCTGTTTTAACTTAACGTACAGTAACAGGATAAAACTTCAGCAGCATTTGTGTGTATGAATTAGCCTCGTGGGCTATGCCTACGGTGGCAGCAGAATTATTTGTCAGCAGAATTTCCTTGCACAGCCTACTCTTATCAGAGGACAGCCGCAATTACTAAGCTAAACTGGTATGTGAAAACATATGGTGTTTTGGAGCTGCTTGGTTACTGTGGAGGATAAATAGCTGCTGACCCTAAACAGGATCTTTTTATGAAAAAAAAAAAAAAGAGTGGTGTCCCTGTGCCTTATAAGGCATGGGCAGGCTTATCGCAGCGCTGAAGGAGGGGCAGTAGCGGGCTCATGCTGCTGAGTTTTCTCCGGCAGCGGTCGCAGGCGTCTGAAGAAGTTAAACTGAAATTGCAAACGCTTCGTCCCGGCACTTAACGGCGAAACTCAGTCAAGAGAGGAGGCGGCAGGTGAAATTAAAAAAAACCCACCACTTGAGCATGGGAAAATCAGGTGAGCATGGGAAAATCGTGCAGTTGGCTGTGTTTTCATACAGTGTCTGTGCCTGGTTTTGTGCTCAGAAAGCATTGCTAAAGCGTTAGTGGCTTTCCTCGGAGAAAGCTGCTTTCGTTTGTGCATGGTACAGTCTGGGAGGAGCTTTCTCTCTGACAAGGAGTTAGATTAAGCAAAAACCAAGAAAAACGACCCCCCCTCTCCCCAGCCTGCGCAGTGTAGAGGTAGCTGTATTTTATATACAGTTTATATTTTGTAGCTTAAATTACTTTTGCTTTGCTGTGTAAAATATTTATAAGCCCTATAGCTTTAAAAGTACTTCACGTCTAGCTGTCTGACAAAACTTACCAGCCTTGCAGATGGGCAGCAGGATGCTTTGAGAGGGGGGAAGCTTTTTATCACCCTTCATTGTCGGAAGGATTTAGATTTAAGATTTGGTTGCCGTTTAACTGAGGGCACCTCAGCTCCTAAGTCTCTCCCCAGCTGTGCATGTACCCTTGGAGCTTCTCCCTGCTGTTGCCTATGCTCTTGCTTCTTTTCTCACTGCCGCCAGCTGTCTGCGTGCCCTGCTTTGGCAGTCTGGGCTGGGGAATACACCTCCGAAGCTGCCGAGGAGCCAGAGATATTAAGACGGGAGGGCTTATGCCCCCTGTTTTCTCTTACCTTGTTCTGTTAGAGTCATGAGTGAAAATCTGTGCCAAACTTCTGAAACGGCTATAAAACTGGATGGAGGGTATTTTTAATCTTGTGGTTAGGACTTTACTTCTGTGACAAATTAGAGCCTGGTGGCATATTGTTTGTCTGTCCTGTGTGTAAACAGCATGTATGGGATGGGCTCAGCAAAACCTAGTACTCTATTCACTCAAAAACAAGACTTCTTCCAGAGAAAACTGAGGAAAATCTTTGTGTGGGTAACACTTTAGTGGGCCTCAGCATGGGTATGTTGGTTTTTTTCTTTTTCTTTGTTTTTAAAGGTCAGCTTCTTAGATGAGATCAGAACTGACTGCAAACGTGACTGTAAAGGGTTTACTGGTATGACATCCAGTCCAGGCAAAGCACTATGTGACTGCCAGTGGGTTTGGCCCCATGTACTGGCAGCTGCATATGTTTTAAAGTGGATTGGCATTTAGTAATTAACCTTATAACAATTTAAATAAGTGTAGTTGCTCAGAAGTATCAAGTTCAGCACTTCCTATGCTAACAGCATAAAAAGTACAAATACCATATAAGCTCCCAATTTCAGAAGGAGTAAAAATCTCCTTTTGTTTTAATACATGCACACTGCTAAAACAGTCACAAGGCAATCACCATCTTTGTTTTTTCCTGTACATTTATTGCTACACATTAGTTGATTTTTCCAAACTTAGGAGCAGTTACAGACGAAAAACTCCCTTTGCCAAGGCTTGGGGAATGTTTGCATCCCTAAGTACTTATACAAATAAAACTTGAGATCTAGGTGCATATTTTGTCAGTTGTATCACACTTTTCAAATAAAGATTAAACTGAGTCCAGGTTACTATCTTTGAGCTGTGTGCAATATTTTTAGGTGAATCATAAAACTGAGATCCTGTCCTGACAATTGGTTTATTAACTAAATCCCATCTGCCCTTTCCAATGCACTGAAGTCTTCAAATTCCTGTCTGAGATCATTCAGTGTGGTTTGCCTTTGAATGGGGAGAGCAGCTGTTTTACAGAGTACTGCTTCCTCTGTGTTTTGTGTGAAATACCTCACATTTCCACTGTAGTACTCTTGAAGTGCAATGTGAGCAAGTTTCTCTATACTAGGGTACATGAAAATGAAACAGGTTGGAATCTGTTTAACCTGGAAACAGAGTCCTTGTTCCTCTCCTGGGTCAGAAAGATTAAGGCAGAGATTGCCTGAAGTCTAAATTTGAGGATGCTCTAATTCATGTAAAGTGGGACCACTATTTTAAAATAAATGTCTTCAGAGCAGTCTCTTTTTGGTTTTGGTAAACCTGTCTTGAGGTAGAAGTATCACCACACAAAGAAATCCTACTGTTGAAAATCGCAGTTCTTTGATAAATGGTCTTCAATAATTTTATATTACTAGCTGTTACATTGCATTTGAATCAATGTTCATTGCGAGTATCAGAGCTAGAGGCTTAGCATTGGTTTTGCTTCATTGAGCAGAGCTCAGTGTTGCAAGATATTGGTACTTCTGACTCAGATTTCTTCCTTGGAAGCTGCAGGCTGCTGAAACCAAGTTTGTGCTGAAACCAAGTTTGTACTGAAACTTCCTTGTCAGGTTTAGAAAAATGTCTCCCATCACCGTAAGTCCTGCAAATACTCAAGCCAAACATAGAGACCTCCTCTGCCCTTCCCATGTATTCTCTTTTCAGGCAGCATTTGGATTGGTGGGGGGTGCAGGCAGCCCTCCCCACAGGCGCTAGAGAGCCCTAACCAAAAAGACAGGGATAAGTATTTCTGCAGGAAATGAAGGGCTGGTGAGCTGGCTGCTCCTCGTTGCCCTGTTGCTGTGAGTGCCGCGTTGGCGAGGCTCTGACCCCCCTGCAGCTGTGCGGGCCGGAGGCCGGGGTTCTGAGGGCAGCCCTTGCCCCAGAGGGGATATCCATTCGAGCAGCTGCAGCTGATGCTCAGGGAAGCAGCTGGCTGCAAGCTCCACTCCTCCGCTCTGGAGCACGGGGATTCCTGCTGAGCAGTGGGAGTCTCTGAAAAGGCTGGGATGGTGGTAGAAAAAGGCTGCTAAAAGTCTCATTTCTTCCACTTCCCCTCTGGCTCAGCCTGGTGGGGGAAGGGAGCTTGCTCGCTTTGGTCCCTAAAAACCCGGTGGAGGTGATGGCGGGGGAATCGCCGTCTTTACTCTGGCAAGTGGCTGCAGACGCTATGAAAGACAAGGACAGGGTCAGTAAATACTGGCTATCTTTTTACAGCGTTTGGATTACCTTTTATATTTATTTTTTTTTATTTCTCTCTTCTCTCTTTTTTTACCCTTCTGGAAATGTGGGTGGGACTCAGAGAAGACTGGGAGTTGCCCACTGTTCTACTTGTTGAGTCAGTACAGAAAAAAAAAAAAAGGCTGAGAAAATGTTTTGACAAGAAGAAAAAGACAGAAATCAGACTCAGTGCAGTTTTCCACGATGGTTTTAATCTATCTGAGAAACATGTGCTGTTTTTTAACTCTCAAGATGCACCTTCAGAGTACAGTAAAAATGACTGTTGTGTTTCCTTCAGGGAGAGCTACATCTTCAGCTGATCTGAAGCGCTAATCTGTACTTCAGCATCTCAGTAGGATACAGCCATGGCAGGTTGTAACAAAAGTACAGGTATACTAGAGAAGTGACCTGTTGGCTTTCTGAGAAACGCGATACCCGCAAGCTGCCAAAATGACAAAGTGTTTCGTGCTGGCTGGTTTTACAGGACTGGTGGGAATAGAGAAAATGAATTGGTCTAAACTGCTAGCAACTGAGCGCTTGCATTTGGTTACATCGGGACATTTGCAGAACTTGTTGTTGTCTTTTTTTCTTTACACCAGAATTGAACTGGAGGTGTGGTGAGAAAAGGGCCTTTCAAAACCAAGGTTAATTCAATTCATAACCCCACACCTCCAGTTTTTGTGTGCGGAAAACATTGATTACTTGCTTCAAGTTCAATAAATATCAAATAGAGAAAAGTCTGACAGAAATGCATTAGGCTTTGACAAACAATATTCTGAGCCCGATTTTTACCTGTCTTTTGAACCACCAGGTTTCGGTGGGGGAAAAGAGGGTAATGCAGCAATTGTTGCTCCTGTTGACTGCTAGATTAGTACCCTTAGTTCCTCATGTTCAAGTCAGATAATGCCAAAACAAGTGTGAAGGGCTCACGAAGAATTAAGATACAATGTGATGGTCTGTAACAACCGAGACACCTGCCAAGGTTTCCTATACTATTGAGTTGTACATCAAAAAAAATCATCTCCTCTTTCTGAATCCTCCAAGAAATCTTTCAAAAAAAAAAAAAAAAGTTAAGCATGAAGAAAGCTTTTATTGCTGGGAAGATTCAGACTTAGTTTTCTGTCAATACGGTTGTAGTGTCTATCCTGACTGAGTTTGAATTTGCCTCTGTTGCTGCTCTATGTGCAGGAGCAAAAAGTATGAGAAAATGAGTGTTTTGATTTTAACTGTTTTGTCGTTTATGTATCTCAACAGGCCAGAAGGCTATTTCAGATCTCTATTTTTGTAGAGGCCTTGCTGTTCTCCAAAGATTAGCTGGAGCATATCTATGTTCTGTTTTTACAGGCAGATGTAGGCAAATTCTGCCTAGTCTGTGAAGGTCTGAATAGCAGCAGCTCTGCCAGAGCTGGGCTGGGTGGCCCTGCAGAGGGGGATGAGGTGAGGCCACGCAGGTGGCCGACCTCCCTGGTGCAAGTAAGGGTGAGAAAATGGGATTGTAGTCTGGAGTCTTGTGTAGGAAGACGATATGGGCTTGTTTAAGGCCACCACAAACATCATTTAATATCCCTGGAAGTGTACAAGGTCAGGTTAAACAGGGCTCTGAGCAACCTGATCTAGCTGAAGATGTCTCTGCTCGCTGCAGGGGAGTTGGACTAGATGCTCTTCAAAGGTCCCTTCCAACCTAAACCATTCTGTTATTCAGGATTTCAGGAAATACAAACCTTTTTGCCAAGATTTAGAATTATGATAACAGGTTTAACCTGTTGAGTAGAGGGATGAGAAAGATATGATGTAGTTTATAGTAAATATGAGTGAAGAAAGCTCTCTGTGTTTCCTTGCCTGATTTTCGCTACTGGATAGGGGAGTTTACACATCAGTGATCAGAAGAAATGTTCGTGGCCATATTTCACTGCCTCAGGGAGGTGCATAAATAAATATACTTTGGACATTGCCCGAGTTATCTTGGATGTCCTTGGCAGAAAAGCATGGTGGGAGGGTATTGAAACTAATGAGATTAAACCTAATTGAGGTATGCCTACCCCAAGCAATGGTAGAACATGGTAAAAAATGACAGAGCATATCCCA